CTCCTGGCCGCCCCCGGGGTGACCCCACCGTGTGCTGCTCCCCAAGATGCCTTGGGCTCTGCGCGGCTCGGGGCTGCCTATTGCCAGCTGTTTCCCCAGGATTAAAAACAGCAACAGCACGGCCGTCGAGATAAAAACGCTTTCTTAAATTAAAATAATAAGCATTGGATGGAGCGGTCTAGACAACGTACATCTTTCCAAACTCCTGGAGGGCCTACAGTAAAACAAACTGCAGAAGTTGTCTTGCACTGTTTTAAACCGCTGCTGCAGAAGATTAAAATTCAGGTTAAAGACAGTCTTTCAATCACAATCTGCCATCGTCTCTTAAATTGGTTAAGCTGGTCAGCTCCAAAACCGCCAGTTACTGGTTGTTAAAAACCCTTGGGACCGCAGCTAGAGTCACCACAACTAAGGTAGTCAGATGCTCCCCCCTGTACAGCCCTGTTCTGGCTCCTCATAATTTGCCAGACTTGAATGAATTCGGCTGCACCTTCCTGCCTTGGCAGCCCGTGCTGGACATTTTCCAAACACGCCAAGTCCTTGGGCTCTTCCAAGGATGAACGCAGAGGAGGAGAAGAGGAGCATTGCTTTGACCATTCTCGGGCTTGTTGAGGTTTTTTGTTTTTAGGACTGTAACTCTGAAAATAGAGTCTTGAAATTTGGCACGAGGCAGCCTTTTATTGGCTTTTGGGTGGGTTTATCTAAATTAGTCATGTTAGTGGGCTTTGAAGAGCAGCAGCTCACAACACACAGCAAAAACATGCCTGATTCTGGCTGCTGAAGTCCCTCAAGATGCTGCTCTTGAGGCACCTCTGCTCAAAGCCCGCTGAGCAGCCCCCCAGAGAATGGAAAACTTCAGCCTCTAGTTAAAAAAGCCTTTCCTGGTAGTACAAGAGTGGTGGGACTCATGAGCACAGCCCCTTTGTCAGTCCCCACCAGCCCCAGGTACCCCAGAGGACGCTGGGCCCACTGCTCCAGCACCCAGCAACATTTGCTGCCAGGACTTCCCCTATGGATCCCACCCCATCCACGTGCACAGGCTGCGTTAGGGGATATTTTGAAGGTCACTGTGTTACCTGGTCAGAACATCAGAAGTGTCCAAAGTGAAGCATTCTGTACCAATTTATGGAGACTTTCTTGCACACACATATTCTAATGCAGTTTTTAATTACATTGTCACAATCTGTTTTCCATAGGACACCTGCATGCCACAGACCCGCTCCGTAAGTCAAAACCGAAACAAATTTTGGCCAGATCCTCATCTTACCTGCAGAACCAAAAACTGCCCACAGAACAAAGCAAGGGCTGCAAGACGTAGACACAGTCCGACAGCGAGGACAAGACAGAACTCTCCCAAAAGACCAGGATTCTCTCCTTGCCCTTGCCGCAGGCTTTGCAACGCTAACAAAGTCATTAAACCAAACTTTTGGGTGCTGACAGTTGTATTGCCCACATTGCAGGTGTGTGGCTTGAAACCTTTAGCCCGAATTGCTGACATCCATCTTAGTACAGCTGGAAGCAGCGGGTGCTGTGCTTGCATGTATGAAGTGCTGTATCACGTTAAATGCTCTGAAAAAGCAGACATTACGCTTCTCGGATGGAGTACCCTGAATTAGTCAAAACTGACCTTAATCCATCCATGTGTCACCCTGGCCCATCTTCACAACGGGTGTTTGAGGAGGATTAATGAAGGTGCTGAAGCACTGATGCAGCGTAGTGGAAAGTACCGTAGAAAAAGCCATGAGGAAATTAATTCTGTCGTCAGAGGAACCCGCCGACATCCCTGCTCCGGTCCTGTACAGCACGCTACAGCCTTACGACCCTTCTGGCCATTCCTCCAGGATTTCTGGACAGCACCTCTAAAGGAGGTCACAGCATGTCAAAATCCAGGTACGCAGATCAGTTCCTCGGTGCAGATGGGTTGCGCACAGCGGGTCCGAAGCATCCCTAGACTCAACCCGAGTGCATTTTTACTATCCAGAAGATAGTTCTGCTTTGAAAACTGCACACAGGAATATTGCAGCCGTATTTTCTATTGCTGCAAAATCCAAAAGTGGTCAGATATGTGAATAATGTGCTGAGCTAAGGCCTAGGATATGTGCTGAACAATAGGAACAAGCCAGCGTTGCCGAGCCCCTCGCTGACCATCTCATGCACTGCACGCCGTAGCGATGCAGAAGAAAAATAGCGTCTGAACATGCAATTAAAATCTTGGTCTGCTTCAACAAAAGGGCGTAGATTAAGTTGCACTGGCAACAAGAATTTGGACATTTCTGCATTTTGAGTACTTTCCTGGGCAGTAGCGATCGCATGCTTAACAGATTTTTGGCTACCATATATGCACACTTAAACAAAACTTGCATACAAATGCCTATGCAACACATACATATAAAATACACAGAGATAACACCTGATGGATGGTTCTACAGAAAGGTCATGTATATGATATATATGATACTCAGTTTACATAGTATGACATTTATGTAACACTTACGAAGAGCTCTGACAGGGTGTTGTCAGCTGGCATTTGCTAAGAGAAGAAATAAATCTAATAATAAAAACAAAAAAACATTTTGGAAGAAATACTGCACAAATCCTCTAAAAGGACAGAATCGTCTACACAACAAAGGCTCGGCTGACTGATGCTAAAATAAGCAGTTATGCAACAAGTAAGAAATACAATCTCCAGGGAAGAAGCCAGCAACATTTTCCTTTCCTCTTCATGCACCGGTGCTTATTTTTGCATACCTACAAGAAAAATATAGGCAACATTTCGACGACGAGCACATAAGTAGAATTAACAGATGTTTTTAAGCGAAGGACGGAGTCTTTCTGAGCTTTATGCAAGTTCTGCAGAGTTAGATCCCGTCACTAAACGCGAGTCCCCCAAAGTGCCACAGAGCTGCTGCTACCGCTGCCCGTGCCTCAGGGCCGCTACCACGCTTTAGGGGAGCGTGGTGCTGTCATGACTAGGTGTGAACACGTTGATTTTAGCGGTGAATTGGCTCAGCGTAGAGCTACAATTACAAAACTGTTAAAACACCTTCAGGAGAAGCAGCACGCAAAATAGTTTGTCTCCCAACACTTCGGTTGAACAAAACTTCTCGACAGGACTTGAGACCAGTGGAAAAATCTCGGTGCAGACAGATCTCACGGGAGAGGAAGAAGAAAACCCAGTGGCCTTGTTGGCAAATTTGATTACTGTAGTACGTTAGCACCAGACACGCGGATAGAACAGGTCCAAGGGAGTGCGAGTGTTCCCCAAATATAATGAAAATTCAATGTCATTTTGAAGACCCTCAGAAACAATCCATTTAGTAACGTTAGCTAGTGAGAAACCACGAGGAAAGCTCAGTCCCTCAGCCTGTTCCAGCAGTGATACCCGCCCGGCCCTGAAGCCGGGTGCTGGAGGACCACCACAGGGCCAGGAGATGCTCTCATGACAGAGAGCCCGTGGAGATCCTCACAAGCACCACACAACTTGAAAACAGCGCAGGAGACACGTGGCTGCTCATTTACTGCCTTAGAGACCCTCTTCTGAGGCCTTTGGTAACCAGAAGTCATCAAAATAGCCTCATGGCTACTTTAATTTCTACCAAGGACCAGAGCCGTACACAGCCATTCCAGGAGGAGAACACAAAGATGATGAAAATCTTGCTGCACCCGTATCCCAGATAGGGTTGTCCAATATCCCAGCTATAACCAGGATATTTAGGTTTTATTAAAATATGTGTTAATTTGGAAAGTAGTAAGCAGATGCAGTAGAAGGAAAAAGAACAAGCTCTGTTCTAAATTACAATAATCACTCCCATCTTCGAGAACAAACTACTACAGAAAGATCAAGGGAGAGATGGCTGCTATCGTCATCATATAAACTAATCCCTTTTCTTTCTCATTCATTCTGCATAATTCTTTTCCTCTCTGAAGCTAAGGAAAAAATACTATACTTACAGGAGAAGAAAATTTGATTTGGCAGATCAGTGGATAGTGAGATTTTGTTTGCAGTCTCAATTACCTTCAGCAGCTAGAAATTTGGTATCAAAATAAACTGTAAACAAAAAAAATAGACATAGCATTACAAATGTCCATCCCTTGACGGATAGCTCAAAAATTCTCTATGTTCTAGCAACAGCTGCTTTAATATCTTTCAAAGAAATGGCAGCCTGCCTCTGTCTGAAGGGATTAACTTTAAGGAATGCATCCGTAAGTGGTTTTGTGCAAAGATGCTCACGTTCTTGTGGGCTTTCTGCACCAAATTTTTTCTGCCAAATTTCAAGATTCCTTTTGTTGTTGTTGTTAGTTTCTCTGTTTTCTGTAAGTTCATTTCTATTACAAAGCACATCTAACACGACACATTTCATCCAGTCCCCAGACTGCAAGAACTGGGGCTTTCAAAGGGCCCTCAAGGGTAGATTTGGGGAAATAAGGACCATCAGTGGTCAGATGAACAGGTTCAGTGCTGCTCCTGTGACAGGAGACCTGCTGTAGCTCCTCACGCTTTGGACGGATCCTTGGGCATCACAGCAGACTCCCCTGCAACACACTTCCCCACTCTCATTCCTGTGCTCCCATTTTGTTGGCATTTCAAACTTTTCCACGTTCGATGCGGTGACGGGATAACACGGCTCCTCAGACCACGCAGAGTTTCAGCGTGAAGGTCTTTGACTGCTATGGGCAAAGTCTGTAGTTCTGGGTGATGGACGGTGAAAATAGTAGTAGATTTAGACGATTTAGAATAGTTCAGTTGGAAGGGACCTACAAGGATCATCTAGTCCAACTGCCTAAGTACCTCTTCTCTCCCTCGTGAAGGGCCATCCCAAAGGCAGGACATGTCATTGCAAGCCCTTGTCCTGCCCATTCCCACCCCGCAACCCGGGGAAGGATCCGCCTAGGTGTAAAAGCAGTCATGTTTTACTCCCCTGAGGTGGCCAAGCAGAGCTTTCCTCCTCCTCCTCCTCCAGCTGCCCTGGCTCGGGAGGGAGGTTAACAGCCAGGTGCCAGCGGGTGTCTTCCTACCTGCAGATCCCACCACAGAACATGCAATTACCCTCCCAATTAAAAAAAAAAGAGACATTAAGGATCCAAGTCACAATTCAATGCGCCATTTGAGTGAACGGTACATATGCTAAACAATACATGCATCAAGACTGCATTAATCCACATTTTATATGGATTCCCTCTAGACATTCAGTTTATAACCGAATTGGCTATTTCCCTGTATTTCTTTGGAGTTGGAGGGTGTGAAAAAGACATTTCCATTTCATTGACTAAGTTCCCAAGGGGAGAGTTTATGAAAGTGCAAGTGCATAATTTACTGCCTGACAGGATAAAGATGGTATCTGATTTTAAAAAAATAGTGTACCCTGAAAAACAAAATTGCTAGAACAGACATTTGTTTTCCGTAAGTACCGTATTTTAGAAGCATTTAATTTAGCTTAGAAGCACTGTTAAAAATACATGCATTGTAAATTGCAGCTGTATAACATGATATTTATCAGATAATGTCACTGAATAGTCTCCTGTTGCAATATAAATGCCAAGGCATTTATAGAAAATAAATGTTGAAGTAGAGAGCTTTCTTTTCAAAGTGGAAAACCATTATCTCATCCGAAAGTCATAAATAAAATGAGGGTTTGCTTACAGGGTTGGTTTTAACCATAGGGGGGCTGACACGGACACGCCATCGCCTGAGCAATATTCCCAAGCAGCAAACTCGGCCTGGATGCAACGAGGAGCGAGGGAGGCACGTGGGACTGGTGACAACGGTTCAGAAAGACCTAAGAGTAGCCAGCAGGACAAATCAGCTGCTAATGCGTTTGAGGAAAAGAGATAAAGATGGGAAGTGAGGGATTTCTTGAGGTACTTCACACAATATTTATTTCAAGAAAATTCATCAGGTCCGATTATAGCCAGGACCCAATACAATATGCTCGAATACCAGCTTTTAAAAAAGGGTTCCTGAAAGCTGGCTCTTAAAGCCACATTTAGTCACATAAGTGCATGATCTGATTTTCAGAGGACGGAGCACCTGGCAGTTCCTATTGATTTCTTCAGAATCTGGATCAAGTTGTGCATGTGCAGCACTATTTATTAGCATAAGGTACAAAGGGCTGTGAGAGAGGGACAGCAAATAAGATTTTGGATCCAAGATCTCCACCTTCTGCTCCTCTGAAATTTGAGGACGTTGATTTAGTCTTTTCATCTCCTGTTAGAACGGGACTAAAATGAGGCTCATGCTGCCATTCACGCAGATCCACAGAGCGCTTTGCTGAGCAAGCTGCTTGCCACGTAGGCAGCCGGGTCCCATCCCATGTGCTTTTTGCACCGCAGGTCCGTTTGCTGGCATTGCCAAGACTGGAAAACACCGCTCCCACACAACCGGGACCCGCCACGTGAGCTGCTTCTCCGTTGCCGCTGAAGTGCGATTGCTGGAGGTGCGATGCTCAGCACGGCATGCAGGGGAGGAGTGGAGGAGGACCCGCTGCACCAAACGCCTGTGGAATAATCCTGCTAATTTCATTTCAGTTATTCTGGTTTGACATAGCCAGATAATCCACATTTTATGGGAGTAATTTTCAAATCATTTTTAGGCTATGTAGTTAGGAGCAAAGTCTGCCTGTAAATTCAAGAAAGCTGCAGCCATAATGTTTATTTCGTTGTGTCTATAAAGCCAGAATGGCCACCCCACAGTCCATGGGCATGCAGTCATCCATGCCAGGGTGGGAAAATAAGGGCATTTGAATTTTGGTCACAAATCAGACACTTTTCTGGTCAACTGTGGAAGCCAGAGTGGGTTCACCACCCTCAAATGCCTCCAAGAGCGGCCCTAGCTGAAAGCTCGGGCACTGTTCTTCTAAAGGAAGGAATGAGATTCCTGCAGCCCTCTCCTGGCTTCATGAATTCCTCCTTGCCTGGTTCTGCTCCTCTTTTAGCCACTTCTTGGATAGCTCGTGTGGCGTATTGTCTGCTTCTTCCTCCCTCTGTTTTCTCCCTCTGCTACCCACTGCATTTTTCTTTGGACAATCCAGTCCACTGATCCTCTTCAGCAATCATATTCATACCAAATCGCCGGTTATCTGCCCTTCCACGCTCGCTCATCTCTCTCCATTGCAGAGCATGCTTCAGTCTGCCCCATAACATCCCACCCTGGGCAGCACAGTCAAAACTGAGACTGGATGTGCTGAGCCGAGCCAAATCCCTCGTTTTTCTCACCCAACTTCCTCCATCCGCTCTCCCGGTCAGAGGAGCAACGCACATCTGGCACGGCTCAACTGGTATGTTGTCAGAAGCACCTTATATGATGAATGATATGATGAATGCCAGAAATGTGTCTAAAATAACTTACGTACAAGAAGTGGCTGGATGGATGAATGGACGGGACAGCTGATTCACTGGCTCATCAGCCATGGAGGGAAAGTACAACACACCAGCAGGACAACCTTCTGGGCCACATTCAGAAGAAAATACTTTCAGTACTGGTAGCTCCTTGCAGAGGGGATCCCACACTGAGCATCGCTCTCCCGCGAGCACGGAGGACCTCGAGGTTGTACACCATATTTGTAAAATAACACAGCAACGAGAGAGGCTCCATCATCTTGTAGGATAGGATTACAGCCCCTCCGCAGAGGACATAGCAGCTATTTATTTGAACTGACATTAACCCTTTTACAATAGGCCACTCTTGATGAGTACTGCCGGGTTGCTGAGCAGCCCCACATTCATCCGAGCCGTTTTCTGGTGAGCTCCACGGATGATAGACAACCATCGAAGCAACAACTCCTGCATGCCAGGACTTTAACACATTGTATATGCAACGCATACCCCTTTTATAGTGGTTATAGTCTTCAAATCAATCATACCTGGCAGCGGAAGTTTAACATTAATGACTTTCTTATTATGGATGGAAAAACCTCTCAGAGCTAATGAGCAGAAACAAGACCGCTTGGCTCCTACCTGAGGAGGTGACTCCACGGTCATGACCAACACTTGGAGCAGAGCTGTAGCGATGCTTGCTTTAGCACAGCAAATCCCAAAGAGTCCATCTGGCAGGCTACGCCGCCTCTGCCTTTGGAGCCGAGACCTGCGTTCAGAAAGGGCTTTAGGGATCTCAACTCATGCCCACCTAACAGCAGGGAGGAGACAGCGCATTACCCACCACGCAGCCATCGACCCAGATGCATCACCCTTCCCTGCAATGCGAGCTGGGACTGCGGTCCCAGGGGAAGCCTCGCTCTCCCCAGCCATGGCACAGGGACAGCTGCCGAGGTGTGAAAGGGGGGAGGGAGGGGGTTCAGTTTAATTTTATCTTGACAGCCAGGAGAAAACAGGACCCAGTGAGTTACACATTTCATTCCCAAGCTGGTCGCGCAGGGCAGAAGGAGCGGGTGAGCCAGGGAGGGTGTGAACGGCATCGCATGGTGCCCCAGGGGGTGGTGGCATCTGCCCTGGCATACCTCGGGGAGCAGCACGTTGCAAGCCTGGCTGCTGGAGGAAAAATAAACAAATACAGCGAGTCACAAAGGCAAACGGCATATGACAGGGACAGGTACTTATGCAAATAGACTGTTAACACGCAGCCAGACAGAGCTGATAAGCCTCCTAGGCCAGCTGGAGGTTTCTCCATCCTGCTGGGGGGAGGAGGAGGAGAGCTTTAGGATAACAATAGAAAAACTGAAAAGCAAGAGCAAGGTAGCTCTGGGAAGGTTGCACAGGGCTGCCCAGCTTTGGTACCAATCTGCTGCACCCTGCCACGCTGGCGTGTCGCTGCGCTGCTCGGCACCAGCCAGGGCAGCCACGCTCTGCTTCCAGAAGCATCCTCCTGTGCCAATGCGGGTTAGCGTGTGCCATGGCGCCCATCACCAATACCTCCTTGGGGTGGTGGGCACCTGCCAGCACGCATCTCCCTGCACGCCTGGGGCAGCAAGGTAATCAATCATGCAGCAAAGTTTCTCAGATTTGTGAGGCTGCAGTAGGGCAGCAAGGTAATCAATCACACAAAGTTTCTCAGATTTGTGAGGCTGCAGTACAGGGGGTGCAAGGGGAGCTGCCTTCCCCCGGTCTTGTACCATCCCCATAACTCTTCCCCCGCTCTCTGCTGACCAACCCCCTCCAGGAGCATAAATGAGGCAAATTATCCTTCTGCAATGCTGCCGGAGATCCCCCAGGAAGCTTCATATCTGGCCTGGCTGTGCCACTGATAATCAGATAGAGGGGGTTTAAAATAATCAAGTCTAAGCAGCTGAAATCCAAACTGGAATAGGTAATGGGGTCAGAAAATAAACACTGCAGCCAGAGGGTCCGTGGGGCCCGATGGACGGGGCACCACACGCACTCAGGGCAGGGTGAGCCAGGAGCTGTGGCGCTTCTTCAGGATGCTGCCCAAAACCCAGAGTCCTCACATGTGCTTTTCTGGCACTGGGAAACCTGCGTGAAAGACCCCACACGTGTATCACATGGATCCCCAGAGAGCTGAGTGGCTCCTTTCCCCCCCCCACTGCATCCATCACCATGAGCCTGAGTCGTAGAAGAAAGGATTTTGCTGCCCCAGAGCTCCATTAGTCTCCAGGGCTCCAGTCCCAGTGCTGCCAGCAGTTACTTCACTGTCACTTCACCTGCCTTACCCGTGGGCAGGGAAGAGGGAACAGAAGCACCAAGGAAAGGGGGGATTGCTAAGTTCACAGAATATTTGTTTCACCCGCCACTCAGATTTCCAGCTCACATTAATGACATAATACTCCAGTGGTGAGAAGCCAAAGTTTGCCCTTCCTGTGGTGTTCCCTTAGGAAAAAAATATTACTGCAATGTAAAACTGAAAATTGAAACAGCCTGGTGATTCACCAGAGAAAATGCCTCTCCCCTTTCCCTACTCAGTGAGGTGGAGATGAACGTTGTGAGGTTTGAAAGAAAAACTGAAAAAGCCTTTAATTAATCCCTGGAGGCTAAACTATGCCAGATATAGACAGGATTTCTCCTCTGCCTCCTTTTTGGAGCAAGAACATGCTGCTGTCTTCCTGCTGCAGCGCTTTCCGGGGAATTCTCCGGTCCCCAGAGGAGGATCCAAAGCATTTTCCAAAGCTTTTTTGGGGGAGAGGGTGGCTGCCAGGGAGGCCTCGCTGCTGTCCCAGGGCAGCGAGCAGACCAGGAGCCCCCTCCAGCATTTCCCAGATCAGCGCAGACTTTTGGAAGCTCCTACCTGCTGGGAGGAAACTTTCCAAGTTCAAGGTCAGGTTTGTTTGTCTTCCATCCTGACAGACAAACTGTTATGCAATATTCAGGAAGTCACTTTTATCAGACTCGATTCAATTTATAAGATTAAGAGCATGGAAAAACAAATACTAGTGCTGGGTGGAAAGTGCTGGCACTAACCAGGCCAATGGTTTGTTTGGACAAGGATTGTTAATAGGGTATCTCTTATTTCCACAAGTCAGTAGGGGCAGGATACACAACGTGCTGCTTTTTATAAGGGGCTGGTGATGAGAAAAATTAACCCTTGCTTAGAGAGAGAGCAGAAACCATAGCAAAGTTGGTTCAGTTTTGGGTTTTTTTTGAGAGCAACTTCTGTGGTTGCTACTGCAGCTCCTGCAGAAAGAGCTCTGGCTCGGGAGCATCCCCTGATGTAAAGCCAGGGCTCGACCCCCAGCAGAAGGCAGAGGACCACAGCTGCATTGCTAGCAGTACCTGTGCTGGCCAGGTTTGCTTGGATATAGCTACCTTAGCGCCAGCAGGAGCGCGGCTGCAATACAGGTAAAGGCTTCGCTCACTAAAAACCCGACTCGCAAAGTAATGGGTAAAATGCAGAGCATGTGCAATTTTCACAGGGATCGACAACAGTTGGCACAGCCAGATGACCTCATTCAGAAAATGCACTGGAGAAGAAATCTTAACTTGCAGAGGGAAAACAGTACCAAGTAAGGCCCAGGCTGGCCCCCTGTCTGATCTGCAAGTCCTAAAGTCTTTAAAGAAGAAAAGCGCCAGGAACTGCAACGGAGGAGCATCGATCATTCATCCCACGGAGCGGAGGCCCGTGCCAGAGATCACATCAGCCACAGTCCAGCAAACATATCTGCCTTCTTGACACTTTTTCCAACCAAGGCCCTTACAAAGTTTCAATAATTGCCGCTATTGAGACTAGTTCAGACCAGTGCTTTCTGTTGATACAGGAAAAAAAAAATTGGAAATTTAGTTTCCACCGTGAACTCCCTTAATTCAGTACCACGTATACGTATATAGATACTATACACAGAGAAATTAAAATGTAGTAATAAGGAGCTATGGACTTTGATAATAGCTAAGGGAGAGCCTGAGTTTTGAAAGAAAACTATTAGCAATAGCAGATTTGTAAGTTCAGCTATGGGAAGGACCACAAAATCTGAGCACATGCTGTACATCTTCCTTTTATTGACTGCTTTGTGGGGAGCTGCATTTCTTGTTGAAGTTGGGAGCTGCAGACTGCACTCTGTGTTGATTCTGATTATAGAGTGGTGGTAATTAAACCTCTGGAGCATTAAGTCACCATTTTAACCAAATGCCTGCATTTTCTCTTGATGGGAAATTGAGAGCAAGATTCAGTTTTTCACAGTAAATAAAAACTGTTGGCTGTTTCACAGATAATCAGTTTCCTCATCTTATATGTGAGCAAATCCTCCTGTGCAGTTTCTTCTTCCCTTTTGTGAATGCGCACGCTCCTTGAGGAAGCTCAGCAGCAGCACTGCCAGCTTCTGCACACTGTTCAGCCTGTAAAATAATAATTATAATCATAATGTGGCTCCTTAACACTTTTAATCCAGGGACCAGTATCCTTATCTCCATGTAAGAAAACAGAAGCACACAAAGTTTTGCTCCAGTGATAGAAGTGGCCAAGGCCAAAGTCAGGAATAACCCAGCACCCAGGTTCACAGTCTGTCCACCAGCTGTATCCACTGCCTGGCTCTCAAGTAATGATCTCGCCTACAAACAGATATTCAAGGTGCAAATCTAGTTTATTCTTAGGCTCAGTTCTGTGATGACAACCACAGGTCTGTGTCACTGCACACCTGTAGCTTAGGAATTGGGCAAATACAGCCATTTCAGGTCACGTAGATACAGGCTAGCCTTCTAATGGTGGTTATTTTCACTGCATACCAACCTGAGCCCTCTTGAACAAGGAACCTAAACAAGTGAATCCCTTAAATCCACTATTTTATCGCAATTAACAGCAATATATTGCTGGAGCAAGATTCAGATACTCAGCAGCACTAGCAAAAGGCTGCAAGGCTGCAGTGTGCGCTGGCTCCGTTTCTTGCAGGCAGTGGCGTTAAATACTTTGGGAGATCAGTTATTCTGATAATAAAACAGTTGCTTGTGCAGACGATTGGGCTCAGTCGCTTTCAAAGCACAGCCGTTGCCACAAAGGCTTTCATCCTCTGCTTTCGGAGTAAAGTGCATCCTCCCTGCCCAGAGCAGCAACAGGTTTACCACAAAATACTTGCAGCATTTGATGTCTGCAGAGGCAGGTATTACTCAGTTGCTTCTTATGCAAATGCACTATCATCACTGGGAGAGCAGGGTGAGGAGTCTGTGAATCGAGGGCTGCTGGAGATGCCCGTCCTCGTGTGTCATCCGAGTCCAAAGTACAGACCAGCCGCAGGGCTCGTCTGGGGCCGTATTTCTCAGCAGATAGTCTTCCTGCAGATCTGGGGCTTGACTTGCCACCTTATAGCATGTACCAGAATCCGAGGCTGCATCACTTCACCTTCATCATCATCATCGCTCCACCTCCAGCCATCTGTTCAGTGGAAACAACGGCTGTCACAGCACACGGGTGTACGTACACGGAGACATCTGCAAAGCCTTGGGAGAGCTCCTGCCTGCACAGCTGCCTTTGAGAGAGCTGCCAGGAGGAGATGCCTCAAGCGCACAGACCCGCTCCCTCCCCAGCAGGCGTCAGCTTGGCCACGTGAGCCCAGACATGATCCGGAGTGTCACCTCCCAGAGATCCTCCCCAGCTGAGTGA